CTGTCCTTGGAAATTAAAAATTTATTAGCAGATAAAAGGAGAGCAAGACGCAAATGGCAATCAAGTCATTTACCTTCGGATAGAAATATTTTTAATAATTTAAGCAACAGGCTTAAATTGAGGCTCAGAGAGATTTCCAACCAGAACTTTAACAAGTATGTATCAAATCTTAATAGATTTGATAATTCAATCTGGAATCCTATTAAACACAAACAAAAACCTCAAATTAGAAATCCACCTATTCGATGGGATGAGCGCAATCACCTACACTGGGCAAGAAGTGACGCAGAAAAAGCTGATCTATTTGCTGAATATCTGAGTTCAGTTTTTCAACCTAATCCAGATCTCTCAAATACAGCGGACACCAGTTTGACTTCATTTACCTTAGTGAACTCTGAAAACAGTATAAACTTCTTCTCTTTAAAAATGATAGTTAAAGAAATTGCTAAACTGAAGAATAGGAAATCTCCTGGATTTGACTTGGTGACTTCAAGAATGCTTAAAGAAATGCCAAAGAAGGGATTTATCCTATTAACTTATATATACAATTCGATAATAAGATTAAACTACTGGCCAACCTTCTATAAAACATCCATAGTAAAAATGATACATAAAAGTGGGAAAGATCCAAACATGGTTTCTTCATATAGACCGATCAGCCTTTTGCCTATCGTCTCGAAAGTGCTTGAAAAACTGCTACTCCAAAACATCTTAGCTAATACAAATATTTTTCCAGACCATCAATTCGGCTTTCGGAACCAACATTCTACAGTTCAACAGTGCCATAGAATTGTAAGCGTTATCAATAATACCTTTGAGGCTAAGAAATTCTGCTCCGCGATTTTTCTAGATGTGAGCCAAGCTTTCGACAAGGTGTGGCATAAAGGCCTTTTATTCAAGATTGGCTCTCTACTTCCAAGTAGGTATTACAATATTCTAGAATCCTACCTTGATGGTAGGAAATTTAGAGTCCGCGTTAACTCAAATACTTCAGCATCTCATCAAATCGAAGCAGGTGTTCCACAGGGAAGTGTTTTGGGCCCTTTACTGTATATTCTATTTACAAGTGACTTTCCAACATTACAATCGACCATAACAGCAACTTTCGCTGATGATATTGCAGTACTTTCAACACACATCGATGCATCTGTTGCATCAAGCAATCTGCAAAGCCATCTTAATATTATTGAGGAATGGACAAGGAAATGGCGAATAAAAATTAACGAAAGTAAATCGAGTCATATTTCGTTTACTCTCAACAAGTCAACATGCCCAAGTGTTTACTTTTATGGACGAAAAATACCAAGTAATAATTGTGTCAAATACTTGGGTATGCATCTTGATCGTAGACTGACCTGGAGAGATCACATTTGCTCAAAAGTAAAAGCGATAAAAATTAGAACTGCAGAAATATATTGGCTATTAGGACGCAAGTCAAAATTATCCCTTGAAAATAAATTATTAATTTATAAAACAGTGATAAAACCTATATGGACTTACGGTATTGAATTATGGGGATGTGCCAGCAAGTCTCATATAGCATTAATGCAGCGTGCCCAATCAAAAATACTCAGACAGATAGTTGATGCCCCGTGGTTCGTCAGTAACAAGACCATACATGACGATCTGAATATTTTATATATCGAGGAAGTAATAAGAAACTTCAGTGTCCACCACTTTCAAAAACTAGAAGCCCACCCAAATAAAATAGTTGCACAACTGCTTGAGATGCCACATTCCAGGAGGCTCAAGCGTAAATCACCAATGGATAATATCCTAATCTAGCAAATTGTTTAATGGAACAATTTCTATATTTTTTAGAGTAATCATCAAAATATGTTAGTTAAGTTAATTTAATTTTTTTTTTGTAGTATTATTATATTATTTTATTATTTACTATTATTATATATTACTATTATTATTAGTTACTATTTTTATGTTATTATTTTTATTTATTCTTATTTAGTTTATTCTTTTTAGTTTATATATATATATATATATATATAAGCAATGCAGCTCATAGAATATAAGTACTGTTCTGATTGCTGTAAAATAATAAATGAATAAAAAAAAAAAAAAAAAATTTCAACAATATTACTATATTTTTATAATCACATACATCCTAAAAAATTCCCTTAACAAACTTCAGAAAGATTCATCAAAATCCGAATAATCGTTTAGGAGGAGTATATTTTCATACACCATTACAGAAGAAATTTATAAATAAGATAACATTCATTAGTGTTTGAAATAATTAAAGATTGACAATTTTCTCGTCATAATTTCAAAAGTTGCCGAATCTTTATTTTTATTGGTTTCCAGCTTTCAAAATACTATTTTTAAAAATATACCAAAAATGTTGAAATTATATAAAAAATAAATGAATGAAATTGTGTATAACATTCATTAAAGTTTGAAATAATTAAGAGATTGACAATTTTATCGTCATAATTTCAAAAGTTGCTGATCCTTAGTTTTTATTAATTCCAACTTTCCTTAAGACAAATTGCCATTTACATGTAGTTTCAATAAATGATAGAAATGCAGAAAAAGCGTCATTTATTTCTGTATTATATACCACATAACAATATAAGCACGATCTTTATAGTTTCGTATAAATCCACTTTGGGATTATTCCATATAAATGGAATCTAGACATGATTCTAAAAATACGTAGATACCAGACGACTAAAATATCGATGTTTAAATAAATCTGATCAACTTTAATTAAATTCATTGATTTTATTTATTATATTTAATATATACAGCAATTATTCGAATGAGGGAATCATTAATGGCATCGTGTTTTCATTATAATTGTTTGGAATTTCGAGCCATAAAACTCGAGCATGTAATAACGGTGCAAAGGATCCTGTTGCCTTGTGTTAACGTATTCTTTTAACATGCAATGGAACAGAATTGCTGAATAATTTGGGGAACCATAAAATTTGCAAGCAAATATCATTTTGGTCAATTATGCTGTTCACATTTCATTCATACAGATGTAAAAATAAAATTTGTTTGCTTGTTATTGGTAACAGACTAACAGTTGAAGGTATAATAATAATATGCAGGATTACATGTTTCTCAAACCAGGAAGTACAATAACTTTGATCTGATTTAATTTCATGACATAAAATGAAATTTGAAAATCAAATGCTTAAATTGAAAAAAAAAACTATTTTGATCGATGATCGGTATTTTATATATCAATATTAATTATATTTTAAGAAACGGTATTGAAGTTGGTAAAAATGTAAGTGAGCAGTCTACAAAACTTCTAGTTGTGCAAAAAAATTTACCATTAATTTAAATCATTAAATAAAATCAAGGTCTACGTATATGATATATGTAATAGTGTCAATATATTCTTGTAGCATATGCTTAATATTTAACAAAATATTTTTAAAAAAATATTTCAACGTTTTTCATGTAATTTATCATGGAGATAAGGTTCATGGTTGGTTGTCACGAAAATTGGTTGAATTATACAAATTAATTAAAATTTGCAATAATAACCTACAATTTTTGGATATACAAGCACGTGTCTGTGTAATATAATTAATATAATAATTACAGATAATTTAAATGTGTTAGAGAAATATCAATTGGAAATCATCATGTTCAGATTTTATTGAAAGCGAAAACTTTATTTTCAAAATATACAGTTGAAAACTTTTTCTAAATATCTAAATCTCAATTTCGGTTGACTAAGACAATTATTACACATTTCGAAAAGTTCATGCAATTTGCCTTAAGGCAAAATGCCACTGTTTATTTTTTAACTACTAGTTTAGATTGTAGTTGTAGATTATATCAACTAGTTTATTTTTTATAGTAATTTTTAAGCTTTATAATATTTAAATAATCTCGAGAAATAATAAAAAATAAATATCGAAAAATTATAAAAATAATAAAAAAATATAAAAATTATTAGATTAAAATCTTTAATTGCCAATTTTTTAGCTAATGAATGTATTTTTTTTTAATAAAAGAGAAATAATATGATTATCCGTAGTCATAGCCAATTTTCTAATAATTTTAAAATAATAATAATTTTATAATTATAATATTATTATAATTTTATTCTAATTAAGCTCTTCTGAAGCTAATCTGTAGGCTATGTAATAAAAATTAAAATAGTAAAATAAATTTAAAAAAATTATAGAATAATATTTCAATAAATATCAATTGATATTACAGTTTGTTTTACATCTCATCTATTGAAAAGAGCAGACATGGTTTCATTCTTTATTTCTGACTACACCCATTTGTTTACTTGATATTTAAAAATAAAACAAATACATAATTCTGAAATACAATTGTATACTATAATTAAAAATTAAATGTACAATAGTTTATCTGTAGTAATTTAAAAGTGCATTCTCAATTCTAAATATTCAATTAACCACTGGTACTCTTGTCTAAATATTTACATTAAACTAAAAGGCATCTCAAAAATAACATATAAAACAGCAAGACTTAATTGAGTTTAAATAAACAAAATAAATTTCAACACTACTTTAAAAAAAAAACTTTCTGATCATATTGGTAAATCTTTAAAATCATGTGAGTCATAAATGACAAAAGTATTCTACAATTGTGGACTGTTCATGCTGATGATAAAATTAGAAATCCAAAATTCTAAGTTTAATTAGAATCTTTTCCTTTTCTAAATAATATTAAACATATTGTTATCATATATTTTTTTTGTATAAATCACTGTATAGAATCATATATATTGTTTATTTATGTCAAATCATTTAACACGATATAAATTACAGTTGGCAAAGCCATCCTTATGCAAAATTGTGGACTAGACATGCTGATGACCTGTCCAAAATTACGCAATTTGCCGCCAGCGGCATGCATGTTTGTAGTGAAATTACAATAGATATGTTCATGGCTTGTCATCTAAAAATTGGAAATATTTACATATCTATGGTTTTATTCCTGAAACGACTGCGATTGTGAGCAGTTCTTTTTGGTGCAACCTTTGACCGAAGCACATCTCGCACCGGGCGTTAAATGTGAGTACAAAATTTAGCACTTAAGTCTAGTGACAAAATTGTTGATGTGTTTATATTTTTTGATGTATCAGTATTGTATAAAGAGTATGTAGTGCAAGGTGCAATCGATTCAATATTTACAAATTTAATGCCAATATTAAGTTTTGTTACATGCACAAAATTACACGCTATCAGACCATCATACCGTCGCAGTTATTTTTTACCGTAGTGTTGAAATAAAAGTAGGCATTTAAAGTTAATAGTTTGTGAAGTGTTTGTTCATTAATTTAATTATTTAAGTGAAAAAGTTTAGTTGTTAAACATTAAAGTAATTACGTGTAAATAAAAGTGATGATACGTGCTGTGATAATGAGAAGGAAAACTTTGCGGCCAGAATTCCTGAGGTGAGTTGCTTGCATGCTCACATTTTATTTTGTTTAACAGTAAATTTAACAAAGAATTTTGAAGGAATAATTTTATATATTGAATTAATTATTTTATTATTATATAAAGTTTTGTAGAAACAGTTGACGTTGAATATATTTAGAATTGGAATTGGAATTTGCTTGCAACTAAAAGGTTGATTGAATGTATAATTCAAACACTGTATGGAATTATTTGGTAAAATATAACGAGATGTATGACTATTCCTCAATGCAACTTTGAAATACAAAATATTAAATTATTTATTATATGTATGTGTGCTACGTAATTTATGCTTAATTTAATGCATTCCTTTTACATATGTGCAGTCTATTTTCAATTTTTTTAAAATCCCATATCATGTACAACTTAAATACTCGGTCGGTAAATAAAATTATATAACCGTCGATTATGAAAGTAGTGTGAGTCATAGACTTGCAGATTTAAAGTTTGGTAACACAGAAATGGTATTTTTGGTATAATCACAAAATGTGTACAGATTCATAATACGTGACCAATTAATTAACAGGCATAGTAACCATTAATTTTTTCGAAGCAAGAGAAAATGACTTCGATCATTTGGAAAGTTTTCAGAAGAGGTTTCTGCTTGTATTTCAAGAACAAGTATTTGCTACAGAAAACAATAGCATTGTAAACCTATGAACATTCGAATCATCGTCTTCAAAACATTAACATAGAATTTATGACAAAATAACAATATTTCTTCTGGCTGCATCAAGTATCCCATTCGCACATTCCAGTTGAAAATGTTTTATATCGGAAGTGGTTGTGTGCAGCCACACGTTCTCTTGTTTATATACATCAAAGTTATTTTATTTAACTTCCAATAGACAGCAAAATTCGCATAAATACTTTTAGCAACTGAATCATGCATCTCGCCGGTGTTGAAGTATTATCAAAAGATATTTGCACTTTTCTAATCTGTCTTCTTTTTTAAGGGATAGAGAAACCCAGAGTTTGATTATCAGTTTTTTGAGGAAATTTCTTGCTTTTGCTTCAACATTTGCTAAATATCTTTCAAAAAAAAAAGAATGGTTTTAACGAAATAACGCGTGAATGTTCTAAGTTAGTGCAAGTAATAAAACTTTTTTCTTTCGTTTTTGATTAAAAAACGGAAATTTACTGAAATAGAACTGGGTCAATTTGAACAGACACTTAAATTAAGTCACTAGTAGTCTAGTCATTTAATGCAAAAAATGACTGTTGCCAGTATAGTGCTCCGGGAATTTTGAAAATTGGTAGCCTTGTAGATTTCGAAGTGCTCTTAACAAATTTCATCTTTGCTATCTTTAATTTTTACGGAAAGTCGCCGCCATATTGGAGAAATGGCGTCAAAACAGTTTTTAACAATATTTGTTTTTCCGACTCATTCTATGATAAAAGTAGCTGTACGAATTAAACTAGAGAAAGTATCCTACAATTCATTCGTTAACCGTTTATTTGTAAATATAATAGATTTAGATTACGGGTGCCTTTAAATCTTTGCTGCTCTCGCCGCCATATTGGATCTCCATATATTTGACTGCTCTCTGTACTAGACCTCTTCTTCCTAATAAATAAATATTTTCAATATTAAATTTTAAATTTTTTTTTGGCTAATAATTGAACACTTGAATGGCAAAATAGCTATATACCAAATTAAACTAAAGAAAACTTTCTATAATTTATTCAATATCTTTTATTTTGTAAAACTAACAGTACATACTAAATATCAAAAAATACTTATAAGTTTGTTAAACTAAAAACTTATATAAATTAATTTATTTATTTTATTGTTTTGAAGAGAAATCAGTACTTAAGGATCTAAGCTGTTATAATTTTTCTTAACAACGTTGGTTTTTTCTAAGTCTATCTCTCTTTGATATATTTTATTCGAATTATTATAATAGTGATGATTTTTAATTTACTGCAGTAAAGAGAGTAGATGACTATTTTAACTTATAAACATGTTGCTATTTGAGGTAACCATACGTCCCGGTTTGGCCGGGGCAGTCCCGCACCTTATGTCCCATTTTTTTTTAAAAGCGTTATTTGTACTGGATTTAGATCTTTTGTCCCAAAATTCCCATGCCGATTTTGACTTATGAAAATATGGTCATTTTAGCTATCTGTACTAGAAAGTGAAAACGGATGTTTTAACTGCAAGACACAGGATTTATCATTATTAGAAAGACCAAGTTCTAACTACTAGACCCGGAAAAAGCCACGTTGCATTTTTCAACTCCTTTTTCTGTTACACATTAATTATTAAAATTTTCAATAATTTGCTGTTGTTATTTAATGTTCAATATTTTCATCTTTCGAATTGATGATTCGACATAACCGTTGTCGGGAACTATCAACCCCAGTGTCCCTTATTATCTCAAGTGCGACAACTCGAATCTTGTAACTTGAATAATGTAATATAAAATAATACTCGTACATGTGTACAACACTCGTATGTGCATACACCGAATTGCCCCACAGCGCACTCGGGACACCATTGAGATATTGTTATGTTATGAGCGTTATGTGACCATCTGAAGTGTTGGACTGTTAGGGCCTTCTCACGCCACTAAATTAGATCGGGTAGGAAGGTAACGAGGGATATGTTTTTACTTTTTTACTATACTTAGGGGACGTCCATTAATCACCTGAGGTTTTTAGGGAGGGGGAGGCTTTGACAAAAAAGTCACGAAATATCACGTGGGGGAGGGAGGGTTATTGCAAGATATCATGTATTTATTTTTTAACTGAATTTTTCAAAAAAAATAAATAAATTGCAAGTGCATTGTATTTAGTAAGAAAATACATTTCTACAATATACTACAAATTCAAATTATTTTATTATAATTATTAGTATTATAATAAAAAAGTATTAGTTTTTTTAAAATGCTCCTGGTTTATTAAAATATAATTTACAAAGTCAAATGAAATTTATGATTTTTCATAATGTTTCTAATGGTTATACACTCGGACGTCCAATTTATACATTCTAAGAACAACCAAAAATTTACTAATGTACCAACTGGAATAGGGGCAACTAAAAAAAATTCTGATTTATTAAAATGTAATTCATCTTATTAATCACTAAAATCTATATGAATGCATGATTTCCAAAACAATATTGTCAAGTCAGTTTTTAAACGTTATTTTATACAAGTTAAGATAAATTATTTATATTATAATACTACATTTATTTTATTCTTGTTTAAACAACAATTAGGACTAGTTGGGATGTGTTTTCTACTACTTAGTTTTGCGTGAAGACAATTTTTGTCCTATATTTGCGTTGAAATTTGTAACTTTCTGTAAGGTAAGTTATAGTGATGGGCCAAAAATCTAAAATGAAATGTTTGTATATTTTCACGTTTTTGAGGTTTCTGAACATTTTGACACATCTTAGAAAAAGTGGATGTTTGTGTGTGCTTGTGCGTATGTAAACTATAGCATGTATGTATATATGTATGGATACAATTTTTCGTCGACGTTTTCGGGAGTACTTGAGAACCGATCTTAATTGTTCAAAAAGCATTTGATTCAAATTGATAAGGAGACCTGCTGATTATTAGGATTTAGCAAAAGTTGGTCCAGCCGTTTCGGAGATACTGAGCTAAATGCGCAAAAAATGACAGTTTTTGAGAGAACGAAGCATCAGATTTGAATGATTCAAAAAACCTCTCGCATATATTGACGAAACGATTAATTGTGGGAAAACAAAGAATGATGTTTATTAATTTTCAAATAAAAATTTAATATCAAAAATTGTTCAGATTTTAATTTTAATTTTAGATAGAATTTCAAGGTTCACTCAAATTCTAGAGATAAATAACTCGAACTTTGCAATTCAGTTTATGTAATTGATTGCTTGATTAAGTTTTGTATATTTACTTTTCATATAAACTTATATAAACGTCATCATCCAATTTATAAGCTCTTCAATTTTCTCTTTAAAATACGAATAATGAAAGTTGCAGTATTTAGAACATATTTTAAAACATTTAATAATCTCGAATATTTCAATACGGAACGGAAAAATTTTAGCAATTTTCCTTAAGCACGATGCCAAAAAAAATTCAGATGATATAAATAATCATAAATAATGTAGCTAATTGAACTAAATACTTATCAAACTTATTAGTTGTACAGGGTTTAAATATAAGAAACGAATTATATATTCTAACTTATCTAGTATTTCTTTCTATTAAAAGAAATGATATACAGTCGGTCAAGTAAGAGCGTGGCCGACTTTAACGACAGTTAATGAAAGATTTCGGTCTAATTCTTTCGTGAGCCGATAAAGTGAAGCTTTGTCCTTGATGCATTGTCAAAAAAGGTTTAGTTGCAGTTGATCTTTTGAGAAAAAATTACGTTAAACGCCATGAGTGCTAAGTTGCGCGTCGCGCTACGAGGCTGCGCCCTTTTGCATGCACCTTAAAGGTACCCAAATGTAGCAATCAGCTGCTGCTAAACATATGGGAAAGTTGAAGACATTTGTACAGAATTCGATACACCTATATAAAGTTGCTAAAAATGTCGATGACTTATCAGAACGTGGTTCAAATAAAAAAGAAGAAAAAAGAACAGTGAATGGGTATTTGCGGAATCCTGCTTTAACACTGCAGCAAGGACGAGCAAAATTAATGGCAAAATGTTTAGAAATATCTACAAAACTATCTGAATTTTTCTTCGTATTCATGATCTAAAATGGCGCAACACAAAGGGGAAGCCTCTGACGACTGAAAAACATGTGCTTCTTTTCCGCTTGAGCACATGAAAATATTGTTAGAGATTTTGAAAATGTCATTTTCACTGATGAAAGTTCTATATGAGCACGTACTGCCCTCATTGAGCCGTTAAATTGAAATCCCCTGCCCCTCATAGAGCCGTCAGACTAAAATAATCCGTTAAATTAGTAAAAAGCAGGCGTCGGAGATGCCAGCCAATTGTCCACTCCGGTGGTGACTGGACACATATTGAC